AGATCCCAGTATGTTGTTGTTTCCAGATAGGTCCTGACCAACAGCGATGCAGTTGGAAGCGTGCCGCGCTCCTCCATGCACTCTGCACAGTGCACTCTGGAGCATTGCATCAGCCGAAGACATTTCCTGGCTCTGGCTTCTCTGGTTCAGTCTTGTTTTTAGTGCTTGTTTAATTATTGTTAATGTGAAATCATTTTTTTTTCTTGGACTTTGTGGCGGTTTACGATATGGGTTTCAGATAGCCATCTGCACTTATTAGAAAGCACTAAGCTATCAATGCCTCTGCATTGCCTGAGGCAGGTTCTTATTGAAATTTGTTGAGTTGACTTTTGGATGGTTTGGGTTTTGATTTTTCTCACTGTTTTGGGATATATGTATATAAATGTCACCATAGTTGCAAAATGAAATGGCGACCCACTTCCAGAGATTGGTTTCTTTGCTTGCTTTCTGCTAGGAAGAAAAAAAAAAGTACCCGGCCATTGCTTGTAGTGATGCCGAAGAGGGTTTGAATGGTAGCGCCTGTGTGTGCACTCGCGCTCACATTTATTTATTTCTTGTGCAGGAATGATTAGTGGGTAAAGGTCGGAGGACAATTGACAGGCCTCTGCTCTCTCCTTCTGCCCCATGCGTCCCAGAGAGGGATTGAACTCAGGTCATCAGGCTTGACAGAAAGTGCTGCAACCCACTGGGCTATTTCATCAGCCCTGTTTTTTTTTTTTTTTTTTAATGTGTTTTTCTTTCCTTTCATTTAAAAACTGTATTTGGATTCAGGAGTTATTCTAACAAAGTAAGTAAGGGGAGTAGAGACTTATTAACATTCTACAAGTCCTACATGGTGGCATATGGCTTTTCTCAGGTGGCAGTGATGGGCAGATCTTTGAGTTCAAGTCCAGCCTGGTCTACACAGTGAGTTCCAGGATAGCTAGGGCTACATAGAGAGAGCCATCTCCCAAACCAAAAGTCAAGGATGGATGGATGGATGGATGGATGGATGGATGGATGGATAGGTGGGGGGTGGGCAAGTGGGCGGGCGGATAGATAGATAGATAGATAGATAGATAGATAGATAGATAGATATAAAGTTCTACAAGGTGAGTCCGTCTAGCCCACCTTTCTGTGACCCTGGAAGATCAGTAGAATGGGCCTGGGCCTTTGGGCATCTGGTTGACAGTCTGCTCTTGTCACTAGTATGTTAATTCTCTCTCAGAAGCACAGATTTTGTCTTATTCATCCTGTTCCTCACCTCATCCAACACCTGCCCCATTTTAAACACAGGTCCTGTGCAGGAAGCTGATGGTCTGAAACAAGAGTTAGGTTTATGCCTACTTACCCCCCTCTCCATTTCAGTAGAATGTCTTTCTTACTTTTTTAAAGCTCAACTACAATGACTCATGGTTTATGAAAAACCTCTGCAACTGAGAAGGGGAAAAGAAAAAGTCCCTCTCCTAACCATGAAGCTGCCAATTGATAATGGCTCCGAGAGGGTAAATTTGTTTTCTCCAGTTGATTGACACTGGGTACGTCCACCACACTCCAAGGCAGGCTCCACGTTTATTAGTAGTAAGCTAAGAGAACTCAGTGTTTTCTGTGTTTTGTTGTTATAGTTACGGTGTGGTATCTTGGCTTTTTTGGTATGGTGGGTGTGCTTTTATTCATTTATTCATAATTATTTTTAATTAAAGAGAAGGTAAAAGGTACATGAACTTGATTTGTTGGGGAGGTAGGAAGGATGTGGGAGCAGAAAGGATATGGCCAAATCTAAAAACCAAAATAAGGCAAACTCTCTGCGAGAGTGAAAGTGAATTAATATCAGTTCTTACCTGTTCAGAGTGTGTGTGTGTGTGTGTGTGTGTGTGTGTGTGTGTGTGTGTGTGTGTGTGTGTGTGTGAGACACAAACGCTTGATGACTGGAATGTGGAGTTGAGAAAGAGCCGCACATGTTCCTTCTTTAGGTTGACTGCCAGGCCCTCTCTGGGCACGGGAATGCGCACACTTCTAATGATGCCCAGGCCGGGGCGTGGGAAGCAGTGCTTCATTGCAGTGTGAGCCCCGTGTCCCTTTGCACCCTCATCTAGAATATCAGCATAGTTTCTGTGATGAGTAACTCGTTTCTGAGATAAGCCCTTACTTTTATTGCTGCCGCTAACCCAGGCTTACAGGGAGCGCTGCTCTCCACAGGTGAGACCTTTTGCTCTACAATGGGACTGATAGCTAAACTGGTCTCCTCCTAGGCTCCCCAGATGCCACCCGAAATATTACAGCATTACTGCTAGCAGACTTTTCTTATTAAAAAATAAGTTGGTTTTTCCTTCTGACTCCTTGGTACTCATCTCTTCAAAGCCCATTTTATACATAAAAATTAAATATATGCATGTATATGTGTATATTTCTATACACACAGAGATAAATATATACATATGTACACTTGTGTGTGTGTGTGTGTGTATTACAAACTGCCAGCACTTGTTATCTGGCAATAGATAAGAAGATATCGCCTTTTCCCAGCCCCTTTTATTCCTGTGTGTATGAAGGCGGTATTATCCAGAGCAGCATGAAGCTGCACTCTTACTAATTTCAAGAGGTCATAAACAAGCAGAGAATCAATTATGGAAAATAATGCAACAGAATATTGGTGTAAAACCTCTTCATGGGGTGTTCAAACAAAGGTTCAATTGCTCAGGAGGACTTTTGAAATTATCGCCAGTCTGGAAGTCCTTCCCAAGGCCAGCTTCAATTGCAGACCTGCACGCACATGTGAGAAGAAGGGACGGCCACACATGGTCACTGCATCTAACAATTGCCCTTTATCTTACAAGGGCCAGAGGAGACACTAGCTCACCCCATGGGACTGGTATCTGAAATAGAGAGGGCGAAAGTGAAGGACCGCAGAGGTGAAAATGATTCAGGCATGTGTGCCTTCGTTTAAAAAGCATCTCGTGCCTCTTAGAGGAGGGCAGGCAGATGAGCAATTAGTATTCATTGTGAATGAGGCAGGTTATAGGAGACTCTGAGTTGGATACAGAGAACAAATGATGTGACGATCAACACTGCATATAAAACAAAAGGAAAATCTACTCGAGGTAGAATTAGAGTCTTGTCATCTATTCCATCAATTTCCAAAGAGGTGGGCATGGGATGGGAGAGAACGGAGCAGATTTGAACATGCACCCTCAACCTTCTAAAGGACTAGGGAAGGTTAAGGATCTGTGCCACGGTTTCACTGTGCAGTCTGTTATGTGTCTCCTATATTATATGTGCAAAACAGGTCTTCATCAGATGAAAATGAAGGGAGTGTGTGACCCTGGAAACATGCGTCTTCATACCCACTTATCCTACTCCATCGCCATGACAGTCCCCTTTACCCTTTACTCTTTTTTTGTTTTGTTTTGTTTTTTTTTTGAGACAGGGTTTCTCTGTAGCTTTGAAGCCTGTCCTGGAACTAGCTCTTGTAGACCAGACTGGTCTCAAACTCACAGAGATCCGCCTGCCTCTGCCTCCCGAGTGCTGGGATTAAAGGTGTGCATCACCACCGCCCGGCTTCCCCTTTACTCTTTCTTCATTTAAAAGATTTATTTTTATCATTTTTAATTATGTGTATGTATGTCTGTGTGTAGACATGAATGCAGATGTGCAGAGAGGCCAGAGGAGTTAAGATCACCTGACATGGTTTCTCTGAATCCTGGAAGAGGAGTGCGGGATCTCACTGTGGAGCTCTGTCTGACCTGGAAGTCATACCATGCTGGGCTTGAGCTTGCAGATCCACCCCCCCCCCTCCGCCTTCCAAGGGATTAAAGGCGTGCTCTGTCGTAATAAATTTTCTTGCTGTATCACTAGATTCTTAAGCCAGAATCCCCATTCTGCCCATACGTGGACTTTGGAGGTCTGCCTGACCCCACCTCCTGGAAAGTTCCGTACAGTGCTATCCTGTGTGGTTATTATTGGAAAGATGATCTCAAAGTACAGTGTTTTTGGCTTCCCAGAAAAGAGTGCTAAATAAATAACCAAAGCCTCATATCACAGTTTTTAAAATGAATGGAGCCAAATTGCTATTGTAGACTGATAAATTTTAGATGAGATACTGATAGCATATGGGGGTGCAATAAAACCCCAAGGAGCAGCCTGCACTTTGCCCTGAAATCACCCTTCACATCCGACACAGAGAGAGAACTGCAGTCCCCTCTGGGTGCAATGACATGCCTGTCACTGGGTCATCAGGACACAGGGCCTCACCTGCAGTCAACCCTCGAGAGGATAAAGTACCTAGCTACTGCACCTACCTGCCCTTCCCCTCACCCTACCACACAGCATTCTGGCACAGCTTCTAAAGAAGAAAGCAGACGCTCTGGGTGTTGGGCCAAGCAAATGATTTCCATAAAGGCAGTAGGGGATCTGGTTATCCTTGTTTATCCTTTTACCCCTGAAACCCACACTTAGTCTCACCAAATAATTCACTCAAAAATAGCCACTTGGGCTTGTTTAGTAGTAAAGCATTTGCCTAGGGTCCTGGGTTCAAATCCTTGAAAACACAGTTGGTCCTAGGAGTAAGGAATAGCTCTAAAAACTCAATATGGCCACTGTTTGTCTGTCTCCAGAGGTCCTTCCGGCTACCCTATTCATTTTCTTTCTGTTTGGCAGCAAGCTATGATGTGTAACCTTTATATCTGTGAGCATGGAGTACTTGGGATCATTCCTTTCAAGGTTTGCTCAAGACCATCCTGGCTCCGGTCCCTCTGATAACCAAACTCCAAGAGCTCTTGTAATGCTAGCTAGAACAATCTAATGGCGTGCCATCTCCTGGAAGCCCGTTGATTATACTTAGTTTATACTCTGAAGTATTTGTCCAAATAAAAATTCGTTTTTTCCAGGAGCAGCAGTGTAGATGCCAAGCATGTGTCTAAGTGGTCACTGACAGGACCTCCTTAGTTATTGGTTTTCTTGCCTGGAGAATTAGACAGAACCAAAAAGGTAGCAAGTAACGCGCTCTTGTTTTCCCATTGCAGGTTGACGACCAAATGAAGCTGCTTCAGAACTGCTGGAGCGAGCTCTTGATCCTTGATCACATTTACCGGCAAGTGGTACATGGGAAGGAAGGGTCGCTCTTACTGATAACTGGGCAACAAGTGAGTATCCAGACCCAAACAAAGCAGAACAAAAACAAAAAAACTCGTTATTAAGCACATTCAGAGTAGCAGGAATCTAACTAGGTCAGAAGCACTCTTGGGCTTCAAAGGGAGGGACTAGCTGCAAATAATTGAGAAATGATGACTCTTGGCACGCAGTTCCTACTCTGGTACGATGTTGGGGAGGGAACAGAATCCACAGCTTTCTGCCGCCTGCACAGGGTCAGAGCTACGGCTAAATCAGACTCGGAATTTTGAATGGTGGTTTTATTCCCCCTTCTGTTTCTACATGAACATACCATATCTGTTTGCTAGCTAGCCAGTTTAATTCCTTTATAAACCAGAGCATCCTTGTTTTGTCGGTGACGATGATGGTTATGGTCGCGGTGGTTGTGCTAAAGAGAAAACTCATGCACGCCGGGCGAGTGTTCGCCGTTGTTGAGCTCTCCCCGCAGCCCCCGAATCTTTGCTGTTTTGGAATGGTGTCAGTGGAAGAGTCTTAAGTTAAATGGAGTCAAACAGCTGGCCTAGAGGCACACACATGAGAAGGAACAGGGGTTCTGTTTTTCAAGAAGGAAAAGCTGCTGTAAAGTTAGACTTGTGTCTGGATTGATATTTGGTGAATCTATAAATACTTCCTGTGTGCTGTCCTGTGTGCTGGTCTCTCTTCTGAGACACTGGTGTGTATTGGGAAGTAAAACAGAAAATACTCCCTGTCACTTTGGAACTTAGTGTTGTAGCGTGGGGTTGAGAATAACAACCTAACGCACTAACCTGTGGTATATTGGAGCAAAGAAAGCTGAAGAAATAGGACCCAGCAGGAAAAGGAGTGGACACGTATTCACGGATTTGTGTTTCAGGCGGGGCCTAAGAATTACAGAGGTAGCAGTCTGTCCTTCTTGAGAAGGTAGCATTTGAGCAACACATGGGGAAGCAGAGACTGCTGTGTAGCCATCTAAGGAAAGGGAAGAAAAATGGACTTAATGCTGACATTTTAGGGTGTGGGTAAATTCTCCTGGTTTCATACTCTCCTCCCTGCAAATGCTGGATCGATTGGTGGTATGAACTCATGGTAGACCGTGAGTTCTTCAGTCCATTCGGCCATCGCTATGCAGGGCAGCATCGCATCGTTCGGCCGGGGCGACTCCAGCATGCAGGCACTGTGATCTTTTACGTCCGGCCATAAATGTTTATGTGCTGTGAAAGCACAGGAGTACAGATTTGAAAATGGAAGGCTGTCTTCACACCATTTGCCGTATTATTAATAAATCACATTTCCCAATCAAGTTAAAAGCAAGCACCATTTCAGAGCTCTGGCCGACTGGATCAACTCGACCGTCTCCATCACTATCTGGTCCTTGCTCTCAGCATCTCTGGGGAGAACTTTTGAGATGGGACTGTCTATTTGACTTCCTGGTCCTCTGAACCTAATTTGGTGTTTTCGTCCTGGGACCAAAGTCTTTAGATGGATCCTACCCATTTTTGAGTTGTATCATAGGTTATATCTGTGACTATCCCCACCCTTGCCCAGCTAGAGGCTGTATTAGAAGTAAAAGACACAACTCATGAATGAATTCAATCTCTCTCTTTTTTTTTTTTTTTATTTTAATGAAACGGGTTTGTGCCATTTCATCCCAGTTCTTGAGAAATATCCCTTACTCCTAGGTCACTTTGCCTCGAGTGCCATCTAAAGTAACAGTAATTACTGTTTGAAAGTACACCTGTTGTCTCTCTGACTCTTTTGAGACAGGGTTTCACTGTAACTTTAGAGCCTGTTCTGGAACTAGCACTTGTAGACGAGGCTAGCCTCAAACTCTGCCTTCTAAATGCTGGGATTAAAGGCCTGCACCTACACCACCCACCCAGCGTCTCTCTGATTTGTAATACCAAACAGTCACAGAGTAAACAGTGTTAACCCCTGCTGCCAATTACTGCCACTCTAGACAGTGCGTGCCAATGGAAGGAGGGAACTCCCTGGCCTTTTCCTTATACCTTTCCTGCAGTGCAGTACATTTCCGCCTTCCCCGTGGCAACAGCCTGATGATGGCTCTTGTTACCAAGCATTCTCATTTATGGTAACTATGGGAGAAGGCTTTTACCGTCCATCATAGAGCAAGCAAGAGAAGCATACGCCCAGGCCCCTGCGGTTACAGAGAAGGCAAGAAAAGAGCTCACAGGAAGACTTGTGGAGCTCATGAACTTTACAACAGCATGAGAAAGATCAGGAGGCAGGAGGGGGTGAGACAGCCACTGGAGAAGAAGAGGGAGTATTGGTTCTGAGACCCACTCCCAGAGAGAAAGTGTGTGTGCGCGTGCGCGCGTACATTGAAAGATTATAACTTAGGGCTTCACACATGCTCTGCCATGAAGCACCCCCCAGGTTTGAAAAGAAATCAAGTTGATATGTGTCTGCTTCTAGCATCTACTATAACATATAGTGCATGAGAACTATTATATCTCCAGCCTAAAACCTGAGTAAAATAAGCTAGCCACGCCCCAGACGCTAGCCTCGCTCACACCCTCTTCATCTTTCTGCTTCCTCTTATCAGTGTGGGCTAGCAACAGTGACCTGCCAGTCACTAAGCTCCTTCTTAGGCCACTTTCTAAATCCTAAGTACTTTTTCTTAGAATGATAAATATTCCCCAGATAGCAAAGGCGGGAGAAGAGGGCTAGGGCGACAATGATTAATGTAATGTATCCTGTATGCCAACATTAAGGAGGCCGTCGATGCAATGATGAAAAGAGGAGGGATATATTGAGTCTTAAGGGCCAGCAATATTCTAGGGAAAACAAATATATTAAAGTACACAGTGGGAAAAAAGTGTCCTCCCTCCTCATTTTGTCTACAGCATAGTAAAGGCAGGGACAACTTTAGGGGCAGCATGTGTTTTCCTATGGGGACAGATGGTTTTTTAAAACAGAGTTGACTGTGTAGCCCAGGCTTACCTTAAATTCATGGTCCCCTCTTTCAATCTCTTTGCTGCTCAGATTTCAAGCATGTGCCAACACATCCAGCTAGATTGCATTTTGACTATTAGTACAGACTTCTTAAGTTTGGTTTGGAAATGGTAAGAGTACACATGTAAATATGTGTCTGCATATTTATGTGTATTTCTGTATGTGTACATATGTGTGCATTTGAAGCTCAGTATGTGGGGACAGCCTGTGTACCCTTTTTAGACTTTACTAGGTACACCATCTTGAGAAAGTCACCCTACCTTCCAAGTGTCAGTTTCTTTCCCTCTTCGGCAGGAACCATTGTGGTACCCACATGAGAAAACAGCCATAGAAATGACAGGAAGTAGCTGTGTAGTACTACAATAAAAAAGTAAGTCTCGGAGACAGCGCTGACGTGGAGACATAGTGGCCCATTTTCAAAAATTGTCTAGCGTGTAGATTTTCACACCAAGATGGAAGTCTGGTTCCATTATGCATTGGATCAAGGTCGTGCTGATGTCTTAGGGAAGAAATTAAGCTACACGATACCAATAAAGCATGCAGAACTCTCCTAAGGTTTCATGGTTGGCACTCACCCATAGGTGAGGAAGATGCTTTTTTATTTGGGTATAAGGTATTTCTGGTAGACTAATAAATGGAGCACAAGTCATAGCTGCGAGAGGAGAACTATCAGACACCTCCCTGCAGTGCGGTGCGTAGGGATAAGAAAGGCCCTTCCTCCATCTGCTTGATCACAGCAGCAACTGTTCTTTGGGGGCTTTGCACTGTGCAGTTCTACAGGCAAGCCCCCCCAGCACAGTCAGGTGCACTGTAGGATCTTCAGAAGAGAACGCGTGATCAGGCCATGTGAGCTGAAACAAGCCCTCACCTCCCCAAGCTGCTTTTGGCCACGGGATTTTATGATAGCAACAGAAGCCCTAACTAAGATGAATAAAGTCTTGACACAAAGAGAAACCTAGACAGTAATGTCCTATTGCCCTGAAACACATGTGTGGTGGCCAAACTCTGGCCAGCTGAGGGACGCAGGGCCCAGTGGAGTGCTGTAATGAACCTGTGGAGCCGCTCCAGCAGAGGAGGGAGAAAAGACTACCTACACTGAGGTGTAAAAATGAGGTGCACTCTGGGGGTGCAGCTTGGTGGGCAGGTATCGGCCTAAAAGTATGTGAGGCCCAGAGTTCAATCCCTAGCACCACAAAGAGAAAGAAAAGGAGGGAAAGAGGGGAACATAAGAAAGTCACAAAGCGGCGAAGTATGGTGTCCCAGGGAATTATCTTGAGGCCTGAAGAGAATACAGATAAGATAGCACAGCTTTGACCTCAAGCCTGGGGGACAGCCAGCTGTCTCAGGCACCATTGGCGGAGCTGGGGCCTGCCGTGTCCAAGCTGCTAGTACTAGGAGGTGTTTAAAATTAGCTCTTCTTAAAGACTTTGCTTTTTAAAGTTATGTTTTATATGTCTTCCTTCCTACCTTCCTTTATTCTCTCCTTCCCCGTTCCCTTCCTTCCTGTCTGATTTAAATACAGGGTCTCACTGTAGCTCTGGCATGTCTGGTACTTGTTCTGTAGACCAGGCTCGTCTGGAATTCACAGAGATCCACCTGCCTCTGCCTCATGAGTGCTGGTATAAAGGTGTGCACCACCATATTAGCTACTTGTGTATTTTCATCCAGCATTGATATAAATGCAGATTATATGACTCTGGGACAAAAAGGAAAGCATAATTATCATTAATATTCAGTGCTGTCACACTATTTGGCTAGTACCTTATATTTATGACAGTTCTTTTTTTTATCCAGTATTTTAAAGCTATACACACACACATGCACGTATCCCTGTGTATATATCAAATAACAGAATACTCTGACACGAGGTCAGATTTTAGTATTTGCATATTGTGCCTAATAAACAGCCACTGTAACATCATCCTAAGGGAAAGGTCTACTGGCAGCTTAATACCCTCTGTCATTGTGCACCGTATTAAAATGACAAGAACCTTACAGTATCCGAGTCATCAAAATTTTGGACATTAGAACTAAAAGCAATTTAACTTAAATTATCTCTGCATCTCCGGAATGAGTGGAATTTATCCAGAGGGGACACGGGCTTAGAACATTCTCGGTCTCCCCCTTGAATTTCATGGCATAAAGATTACATGTAAGAGAGCAATCAATTAATTTTACTAAGTACATAAAAGACAAGGCCAGCTGCTCCCGAAATGAGCACCAACCCCGCATCCAACAATGAAAATATAATTATGTTTGCAATAAAAGGTAAGGAAGTTGCAGGCCTGTGATTTATCAGAAATGAATCCTCGTTCCCCTTCAGAGGTGTGCAATTTGATAAATTATCCTTGGAAGAAATGTTGTCAGAGCCCCCATTTAATAAGCATGTTTGCGCTCTCAAATTAGCATGTAAATAAATGTATGGCTATAAAGGTGGAGATGCCAATTGATTTCGCGAGGTATATCTTACTAAAGGAATCTCACTAAACAGAAAATCCTCGGAGCCAACTGAGATCCCTTTAATGTGGTGGGTTATGTTTTTAAATATGAAATTCTCCTATTCAGACTTACATAGACCAGTTTGAAAGTTCACATAGACCTCATTAATGTTTACATTTCATTTTAACACAGCCTTTTGAATCAGGACTTGACCAGTGACTCTTCTTACCAGGTACTTGTGTGTATTAAGAAGCATCCATTCTGTATTCAGTTGACACCTAGCTTCCATACCTCAGCACACCTTCAGTACTGGAAAATTCGTATGGTTCTTACTCAGATGGCATCCGCATAGCCACAGAAGTGATGAACACCTTTACTAGCCCACCTACTGTATTTAATGACGATGACACCAATTGGTGTCTGACTTTCCCAACTGTCTTTATTTAGTCCTTGTCATCTGTCTCTGTCTCCAGTTTCTTCCATCACTGTCATCTCATTGGCCCTCCCTGCCGTCATTTATCCACCTAGCCCATTTGCCCCCATAGAATTTCTTACACACTGAATTCCCCTTATCTGAAAATGTTTGGACTGGAGTGCTTCAGATTTTAAGTGCCAGAGAGTTACATAATGTAGAACAAGGGATAGACCTGGTTCTAAATGTGCAGTTGAGTTGTTTCGTGTGCACCTTATATACGTAGCCCAGAGAGGATTTTGTCTGGTTCTTTTCGGTGAGTAACACAGAATCTGTCACTTGGAGTTGTTCTGCTGGTGATTGGAAAATTTTAGCTCTGAGGGCATTTCATGTGTCAGGGTTTGTTTCTAGGTTTTTTGTTTGTTTGTTGTTCTGTTTTGTTTTTCTGAGCCAGGGTCTCATGTAACCCAGAGTGGTCTTGAGCTACTACGGTTTCTTCTGCCTCAGCCTTCAGACGAGTCTCTCTCTCTTTTTTTTTTTTTTTTTTTTTTTTTTTTTTTTTTTTTTTTTTTTTTTTTTTTTTTTTTTTTGATTTTTCGAGACAGGGTTTCTCCATAGCTTTTTGGTTCCTGTCCTGAACCTGAAACTAGCTCTTCTAGACCAGGCTGGCCTCGAACTCACAGAGATCCGCCTGCCTCTGCCCCCCTAGTGCTGGGATTAAAGGCATGCACCACCACCACCCGGCTCAGATGAGTCTGGAGGTTTAAGGGTGTGAGCCACCAGACTTGAATACTCGCTAGGGCTTTTGTATTTAGGATGGTCAGCCTGTGTTATACCAGCAGCAAATCCTGGCGTTTACCTCTGTTTGACTGTTGGTTGAAACTGCTGTCTCATCATGCAGGCCTGGTTGGCCTAGAACTCACTGTAGAGTTCAGGCTGGCCCCAAATGTTGTAGTCGTCTTCCTGTCTCTGCCTCCCTCATTATAGCAGGTTAGTTTTTGTCAGTGTGCCCCAAACTAGACCCATCTCTCCGACTGGCCTATGGCCGAGTCTCTGGAATATTTTCTTGATGAACGACTGCCGTGGAAAAGCCCAACTCCCTGTGGGCAGTGCCACCCCCGAGCAGGTGGTCCTGGGTTGTAGAGGCAGGCTGAGTGAGTCAGTTGCAGTGTCCTCTCCCAAGGTCTCTCTCTGCTTCCGCTCATGCCTTGGCCCCCCTCCTTGATGGAACCCTGTCCTAGGATATGAGTGTTGGGGTTACCAGTGTATGTGCTAACACATCTGCCCCTTAATGTAGAAAATTCCCCCTTAAAATGCTGGCTGGATGTCACTCTCAAGCCTGAAGTGCCCCTGTTTTGGTTCCCCCTGCTCATTTCCTGCCCCAGGGTTCAAGCTGCCTGCAGACTGACCCTTCCAGGCATTCTTGAAAACCACCTGAAGGAGCTCATAGAGTGTTCGACATTTCAATTGCATGGGTAGATGCCAGCCCAGGGTCTGTGCAGAGCAATTGGATGGCACAGGGCTTGAAGCCCCTTGGACTGCACATCAGTGGTGGCGTTTTCATGCGCAGTTGACTCTCCTGTAAGCTGATTGACACCTTGGGGGGGGGGGGTTCGTCTTTCCACTGACTCATAATTTTCCTACTCTTGAAAAGGATTTCTTTACACCTCGTATTCTCTAGCTAAAGCTGAAAATTCAACTCATCATATTTACACAATAAAAAAAAAATCCATTCTGTCTTGTTTTTAATTGCAAATTCTCCCCAAGGGACTAGTTCTCCTGCGTTGGAGGCAGCCCCGTGCCTTCTCCGGCGAAGCAAGTGCAGTCAATTATGGTAATGAAATGTCAATAAATATAAAAATTTAATACAGACTGCTCTGGGTGAGTGGCAGATGAGGACTTGCCTCCCAGACAAATTTGCTGCTCCTGCAAAAATTAAATGCACCTAAAAGGGTGTCTGTTGCTTAAGAGCTCTCCAGAAAAGCAAGGCTGGGAGTGCCAGCTACCGAGTGGGTCTCCCCAAACTGCGAATTCCGGAGCAGAGACAGGATCTCCGAGGATAGCCATCCTCACCTTTGTTAGTATAAACTGAGCTGCTTATATCCCCATAGATAGTAAAGAGGGGAGCCTCTCAGCACGCCTCACAAAATGAAAATGGAAATAAGACTTTTGGGATTTGTTTTCCAGATCAAGAAACTATTCTGCATAAAAATTAGGACATGCGTCAAGGGGAGTGAGTGGTGGTGATCAGTTTGATAGAATCTAACGTAAGCATCGCAAACTAACAGCTTTTGTGTCGGCTTCTAAGGAGGGCGGTAAAAAGCAAATGAATAGGTTCAAAGTCCAGCGTGGAGACGCTGCACCGGGAAGGCTGAAGGAGGAGGATGATGAGTTCGAGGCCAGCTTGGCTACATCGTGAGGCTCTTTTTCTAAAAGGGTCCTTTAGTCACCGCAAGTCAGTACCTTAATCACCTGCCAGCAATCAGCTGAGCACCACGATCCTCTAAGATCCTTCCCAGTGCCAGTTAAGCTGGACCTCCACCATTGTTTTCCCCATGTATTGGTTAATGTTACCGCATACATGTAGAATAATTATGTGGCTCATTTTGTGGGTAGCGTATTTGTCTTTTGAGTTCATACTTAAGAACTGAAAACAATTACCCTACATGGAAATATTTTCACTGCAGAGAAGCAGGTACAGGTGCTTGTAAAATGTAGGCAATGAAAACTAGTCCCTATGGAAGTCATCGACTTTGGATTTTTATCAGAATAATTGTGACACATTTTACAGGAGGTCTCTCCAGCTGCTTTCAGGAACAGAACTTTCCCTAGTTGTACTGGTTCGTTGCTGTCAGCTTGCGTCTCCTGTAAGAAATGGAGCCTCAGTTGAGGAACTGTCTCCAGGGCCTTGGCCTGTGGCCTCTTGTCACACACAGCTCTGTACTGCAACCCGATTCTTACCCCCGGTTCCGAGTAATCTCCGCGGAGCTCTGCGTTGCGAGTCCTGCTGGTTGTCAGAGCTGTGATTCTGTGTTACAGGTTGACTTCTCCAGCATCGCCTCCCAAGCCGGAGCCACACTCACCAACCTCATGAGTCACGCACAAGAGCTCGTCCTGAGACTGCGCGCCCTCCAGTTTGACCATCGAGAGTTTGTGTGTCTCAAGTTCCTTGTACTCTTCAGCTTAGGTGAGCAAAGATTTTTTTCCCCCTCCTGGTCCATTCAACCACACATTATTTTCAAATGCCCAGCGCTGGGTGTCTTGATGTTACAGATACACTGTACTTCCTTCTGGGTAATGAAATCTTTAGACTTGACCATGCCTTCACATGTGTTCTTACACGAGTCTTAGCCCTTCAGCAGATGGGTTGGGGTATCGAACAGGAGTTGTTCAGTTGCAGTTTCCCCCTGCTGGGCAGGCGAGCAATGGACAGTGGAGACAGGAAAAAGTCACTTTCCCAAGTTGGACCCATCTTTCTGCCATTCATATTCGAATATTTTACCTTTTTTGTCGTTTGTTCTGCCTTCCAACTCCTCTGCTGCGTTTTAGCCTTGGAGCGTGGGGGTAGTAATCAAATGCCTACTTTTTACATTTCTCTCAGGATTCGCTGGAGAACGTTTCTAGCAGAATGCCCCATTCTCTGCACATATAAAGGATAGTGGCTGTCAGAGGGAAAGATGCTTCCTTCGCAAGGGTTTGGAGTAGAAAGATAGCTAAGCAAGATAGATTAGCTAAATCAAGGTTCTCAGCGAGCCAGTTGAGAAAAATCACCCCTGCTTGGAATAAAAAAAGGATTAAGGAGATGGATTTTTATTGACTTCAAAGGAACAGATTTTTCTGCCTGTCCCTTACTTGATTTCTGTATTTTTTGTTGGCTTAACAAAGCCAACTTAAATAAACTTTTTTTGCCAAGTCCATTCATTCCTCATTGGCCGAAGGCCGAGGGAGGCAACTTCCCTTGGACGAAAATAATGACAGAAATCAGATTTACCAACATATGTGTTTTCTTTAGTCTTCAGTTGTAAGATAGTTGTGAATTCATATCCAAAGAAATATAACAATAACACAAACTGCAAAGTGAAACAGATGTTCGCCATTGGGCCGCTTGATTTCAGTTTCTCCCGACAGCCCCACGCGGCTGTTGCCGATAAAGGGGGAGCGCGAAGTCACCAAACTCGTGCAGTCAACGTGGAAAAGAAAAAGAGCTTTTTTTTTTTGTAGCTTGGGAAGTGTGATGAATACAGCAAAAAGAAACGTCAGTGTAAATGTAAAAACACAACATTGTGCCTTAGATGGAGTGTTCAAAGCTTCCAGTGGTGGGAGCAGGGCCCTACGTGTTTCTCTATTAACACAGCAAACAGGAACGTTCTGATTGAGGAAGTCTCTGTGTCTTATGTGAGAACAGTGTGTGGGCCACCCAGCAGAAGATAACACAGGCCTGCTGCTGTGACCCCAGAAATCACTCTGGCTTATGGCAGCCTCTCGGTGCTTTCAGCTGGTGGGAAGTTGGGCATGCGTATGTGAGTGATTTGCGACTTCTTCCTGGCAGAATACTAAGCTCTCGACCCAGTGGCGTTTGAGTGAGTGGTGTGAGGCTCCGTGTGAAGCTGTGGCGCACGCCTTTAGTCCCAGCACTTTGGGAGGCGGAGGCAGGAGGATCTCTGTGAGGTTGAGGCCAGCCTGGTCTATACAGTGAGTTACAGAGCAGCCAGGGGCTAGATAGAGAAATGTGGCTCAAATAAGCAAAAACAAAACAAAGAACATGAATTATCTTTAGTTTTCCTGGTGTAAAAAAACTTTCTTACATTTATTCATTTTCTTACATGTTTAAGTGTTCTGACTGCATGTATGTGTTTGCACAGGTGCATGCCTGGTACTCGGGGGGATCATTAGATGTTCTCTTCTGATATGGGGGCTGGGAATTGAACCCCGGTCCTCTGGAAGAGCAACAAGTTCTCTTAGCCACTGGGCCACCTCTCCAGCCCCGGAGTTCATCACTGTCATCTTACCTTCACTGTTCTCTAAATTACTATAGTCTCTGCCAGTCGTGAGGAGGCAGGTGGACCTTAATCACCTTCAACCTTTGACCCTAACAAATGCTCTTCTGAACAACGGTATTTATCAGAGCCTCCACCACACACTTCCTTGTTCAGTGGCTGCTCGGGAAGCACACGGTACCGAGAAAGAGCCGGCCTAAGTTAGCTGCTGAAAACTTGTCTGCCTACTGCTTGAGAAAGAAAGGGAAACAAGGGCTTTTGATCACAGGTATAATAAGTGTAGGTCAGGAGTTCATTTGTAAAGGAGCAGTAAAAACGTAATTAGCAGTAGAATTCAGGTGTTTTCCAATTTACAAGTGGAAAACTTTCTTCATTAATTTTCCCCATGGAAACAATAGATAATTACTTTTTTCAACTCTATTGAGTTTGTAGCTAATGAACTTTAGATCCCAAGTACCTGTTTCATCTGTACCCGAGAAGGAAGTTGTACGAGGGGGGCCACTTTGAAACCCCCGTCCGTTTCCTAGGCCAGGTGCTTGTTTCACAAACCCTCAGCAAACCTTGAGCCTTCTGCACCTGAACCAAATAACCCTGGGATCCCAGCTCCGCCCAGCATTGCCCCTGGTCATCCCGACAAACCCAAGGCTGAGGTAGAGTAGCTGAATGCCTGAGGCTGTGTTGAGAGGTAGTTGCTTGCGTCCTCTTTCTCGTGTGAGAGATGGCGTTGTCCTTCCCCGATAGAGTCCAGGAAAGAAGATGGGATATGATCTCAAGTTGGTACAGCATCTTGAGCCACAAGAGCAGCCAGTGATGAAGTTCAAAGGCAAGAGGCGTTGAAGGAACGGAGAGAGGGTGAAGCAGGAGACAGGCTGGGAAGGTAGGCAATCGCCTGGCCCTCAAAGGACCGGGCCGGCCTTGGTCTGTCCGCTAATTCCAAGGTTGCCTTGGACACAGAGTGGAATAGAAGGAGGTGCCGTGAGTCACCGTTTTAGTCACCAGGGAAGCACAGCAAGGGGCTGTGGTGTGAAAGCCGGCTAGTGTTGATGTGACTTTGTGGTGACAGCATGGATTTTCCTATTTCATGGGGGTCTGAAGGAGAGTGGAGACACAAGCCAAGGAGAGCTGCCAGGCTGTGGCAGACGGAGTTGGGAAGCAGTGACCCAGGAGGATATGTAGGAACAGTAATGGACAAGTTCAGTCAAAGCAGCTTCCAGATAGCCGCTCGCCTCCTACTGGTCACCTACTAAAGGACTAAGAACAGTCCACTTGACCAAAAGTTAGACATAGTTGGTCTAACTGGTCAAGAATAACAAGTCTCTCTATCTCTTTTGTGTGTGACCTAAAGAGCGATCATGACTAGTTGTTCTGTGCTCCTTAAGTTCTGCCAAATTGGGGTTGCGTGCACAAGTCCCTGTGGTTGGATCCCCAGCTCCTCATAAGCTAGTTATGGCAAAACCACACCTGTGATCCAAGCAGTGGGAAAGCAGGCTCAGCTGTTCAAGGTCATTCTCAACTACACATCAGAGTCAGCTTTGGGATACATGAGACCTACTCTCAAAATACATACCTGCTAAATTACCAAATTAATTACATTTTGTTGCCTAATAATTTATTTTGTGCCCATTGATAAAAAGATGTCGGGAGTCATCTATTTGTTTTAGGGTTTATTTAACAGACTTATAGTATAACCCCCCACTTCTTTCTTGCAAGGAGTTAGAGTGGCTGATTAAACTTACTGTCAGCTGCCAATGCAGAAGCCAGTGTCACAGAGGATGAAGTATAGAGGTAACTTCCTCTCTACTGTTATGGACATAGTTCACATAAGTAAGGTTGCCACAGCCTGGAATCTGAAAATGAGGACAGAACTGGAGAGTGCTTGGTTGCCTTTTACGAATCCTGAATAATGTCATCCATGTTAGGAGGGATATTAATGTGGCTTAAGCACTCAGTGCAGCAAGTCACTGAAAAGTTCCAGCTAAGATGCTGCTTCGGCTTGGAGAGTTTCTTAGCCTGGAGGCTGGGTGGTGTGATGCAGCAAGCCTTTGTTGTATCCCGGATGAAAAAAGAAAGACCTGGACACTTATTGTATTTTATATCCCGAAATGAGCACCTCTGGTTTCCTGTACACGGCCCTCTTCTCCGATCAGATGCTAGTTCTGGAAGGCCTTGTGACATTTATTTACCTCCTCTTGTTTCTCTTCAGGGGGAAATAACCAGATCTAAGCAGTGGCTAGCCGCTGCCTCAATTAAGTATAGAGTAGCCCACAGAAGGGATGGGCCTGCTTTTCAGTTGCTTCTGTGCAGTAGAATCTGGCTCTGTGTAAGTGGAGTCTCCATTGATGTTTGTTCTTAACGTTTTCTTTACATACAGAATTCAAGCCCATCACCAAGTGTCCAGTAGCGTGCTATAAAATGTTTACTGATAAAATACATGAAATATAGATGCAGTTTCTTTTCAACTCAAAGCCTTTGCCAAAGTAATTGTAATGTTAATAGTTTAGCCAGAAGGTTGCATATCACAGAAACCTTGGAATTTCAACTCTGTTCTATCAGTTTCCATTCTCCAAGTTTGAGATGTTATTGATCAGCTCTTTGCACAGTTAAATTGCAGAAAGGAATATTAACGACTAAAATCTGGTACTATGTGGACATCTGTTTCAAGTAGCGACTTAATCAGGCCAGGATAGGAAACAGTAAAGAAGGAATCTCTTGCAGTTCCTCCCTGGTGCCGGTGGAGTCTTCCGTCCAGGAAAACAGATGAGAACATCCTGTCTTTATTCATCCATTCTAGCTCTTCATCCCAAATTTCCAACGTTGACTATGGTACCCGATTACACATCACACACAACCCAAGAGTCATCCCTACAGAGGCAACAACCCTAGGCAAGATGGGTTTGGTTGTCTCAGGGAATGATGCAGATGGACATGTAGAAAGGCTACAGTCCCTAACTGCCTTCACCTGTCTGCGCCCAGAGTCCTCCCTGTGGAGCATGGATGGAAGTACGGAGGACCCAAGGCCAGTGTATGCTAGAGAGTGGTTTGCTCCAGCCCAGGTCTCTTCTGATGCTTCTGAACCCACCCCTTTATCTCGAAGGAGTACTCGCCAGATCCAGTCTCTATAGGCTCAGAGAATAAATTCGGTAGGACTTGATCAAAACGAACCTTGAGATGATGAAGGAGCTAAGGAAAA